CGCAAGAGCTGGCTAACCATGGACACGGAGAACACTCTAGCCCTGTTATATGACAACAGCTCACTGATCCTGGATCAGGGCAAACCGGCAATAACTGAACCCAGCTAATGAAGAGCAGACCCCTGATCTCACACACACACACACACACACACGCTCTCTCAGCTGGACTCTGACACACTCTTTACACACACAGCGACTCCATCCGGGAGAAGATGAAGAAGAACTACATGTCCAACCCCAGCTACAACTACGAGCAAGTCAACCGCGCATCGCTAGCCTGCGGACCCATGGTGAAGTGGGCCATCGCTCAGGTACACACACACACACACACACACACACACACACACACGCCTACGGACCCATGGTGAAGTGGGCCATCGCTCAGGTACACTCTCTCTCTCTCCCTCTGGTGTTGACTGTGTGTGTGTGTGTGCGCGTGTGTGTGTGCGTGTGTGTGTGTGTAGCTGAATTACGCAGACATGCTGAAGCGTGTGGAGCCGCTGCGTAACGAGCTGCAGAAGCTGGAGGACGACGCTAAAGACAACAAGACCAAAGCGGAGGAGGTGGAGCAGATGATCCGCGACCTGGAGGCTAGCATAGCACGCTACAAGGAGGAGTACGCCGTGCTAATCTCTGAGGCGCAGGCCATCAAGGCAGACCTGGCGGCGGTCGAGGCTAAGGTACCAGCGCCACGCTCATGCTAACACCACACCCACGACACCGTGCTAATGCTACAGAAACACCACACTGCATTAGCATCACACTCGCGATAATGCCACACACGCATATAATGCTAACACTAACAACACACTAACACCATGTTGAGGATAACACCAGCATTAAAGCTAACAGCGCGTGCGATAACACCTTTCTGCACTGATGTGTGTGTGTGTGTGTTAACATTAATGCTAACACCACACTTATGCTAACACTAACAGTGCACTTGCACCACACTCGCGTTAAAAGCACATTTGAGTTGATGCTAACAGCACATTCACAGTAACACCACTCGCGCTAATGCTAACATCTCACACACAATTTAATGCTAACATCAAACTCGCCTTAATGCTAATGCCACACTGCCGCTAAACTAACACCATGCTAACATTATCATCATGCTAATGCTAACACCACACATAAACTTGAACGTTCACGCTAACAGCACGCTCATGCTAATGCTAATGAGCCTACCAATTCCATACTCACACTAATGTTAATGGCACACTCATGCTAATGCTAATGCAGCACTCCTGCTAACACCGCAGCCATCACTCTTCAGAAATGGTGTGTGTGTGTGTGTGTGTGCGTGCGTGCGTGCGCGTGCTCCAGCTGGGGTTGAATGATGACGTTGATGTTAGCTTTAGCAGTGTGTTGTGTCACTCCTGCACCTGTACAGGTGAACCGCAGCACGGCGCTGCTGAAGAGTCTGTCGGCGGAGCGCGAGCGCTGGGAGAAGACCAGCGAGACCTTCAAGAACCAGATGTCCACCATCGCCGGAGACTGCCTGCTGTCCGCCGCCTTCATCGCCTACGCCGGCTACTTCGACCAGCAGATGCGGCAGAACCTGTTCACCACCTGGTCACATCACCTGCAACAGGCCAACGTGCAGGTACACACACCTGAGTGTGCGGAGGGGCGGGGCTACACACGTCATAAACACACATCTGACAGCAGGTGACCCTGCACCCCCACTGCTGCTGGAGGAGGGAGATCCAGCGCACACACACACACACACACACACACACACACTTCCTCTGCCCTACAGGAGAGCTACAGCAGTGAGGAGCGCAGGATCATCTGCAGTGGCAGTTCTAGTTTAAATGACACCCTGGGCGAAACCACCCCAAAAACCCCCCATCCCCTGACAAATAAACACATGTGGTTTACTTTAAAGATACATTATGAATATATACATTTAAAATAAAAATTATAAATACATTTAAATATATTCAGATAAATTTAAATTAATAACACATTGTTTATTAGTGTTATAAATAAATAAATACAATTATTATTATTATACTATTATCATTATGCAATTATTAATATTGTGATTATAATATTATTTTTTTTTTATTATTATTAAACAATTATTATTATTATTGTTGTTATTATTATTATACTATTATTATTAATATACTATTATTATTATACTTATTATTATTATATATACTTATTATATTATTATTGTATTATTATTGTTATTGTTTTATTATTATTATTATTAAACAATTTTATTAACAAATTTATTATTATTATTATACATTTATTAATATTATTATTATTATTATTATTATAATACAATTATTAATATTTTTTCTTTTATTATTATTATTATTATTATTGTTATTATACTACTATTATTATTATTGTTGTTGTTGTTGTTGTTGTTAATATTATTAGTATTATTATTATTATACAATTTTTAATATCATTATTATACTTTTATTATTATTATACAAGTATTATTATTATTATGCAATTATTATTATACAATTATTAATATTATCATTATTGTTATACTATTATTATTATTATTATTATTATTATTATGTTATTATTACTATACAATTAATAATAATATTATTTTTTATATTTTACAATTTTTCTAAATAAAATCTATCCTAAATGTAACTGAAAAACAGTGTAAAGACACAACTGGAGTGATCTGCGAAGACATTTGCATGAATATTAATGATGACTTTTTTTTATATAATACAATAAAGATATGTGTTTTATAGAATTAGCTGTTGTCTGAGCCAGGGAGGTATCTCATATAATCTTCAGGATCTGTATAATCCTGAAGGATTGCAGTATGTCAGACTGCAAATCTCCTGACACTGCCAGAACTACATCAGAGGAAAAGTGATGGCAACAGGCACTAGCAGCGTTCTGTCAACACATCAAACCCACGATCAAAGAGCAAAGATTTTAGCCCAGGATTTCAGGAATCTTTCAGGATTCCCAAATTTGTCTCAGATGACAGAACCGTGGCGGAAATCTCACAGTGTGAGCCGGGCTTAAGGCTTCATAACATTAGTTCTTGACCATGAGTGTTGGTTGCCTCCTGGACTCATTATCCCTCCTTTCTGCTTCACGATCCTGCTCAAAGTATCATGGCTTATTCTGAGCATACCTAGCATAAACGTGTGATGATGATAGTCAGTGGGCAGCATCATGATGAGGGTGGGTCAGTGTGTGCTGTACAGACAGAGTAACCCTGTCCTGTTCTGCAGTTCCGCACAGACATCGCCAGGACCGAGTATCTGTCCAATGCGGACGAGCGGCTGCGCTGGCAGGCTAACTCACTGCCCGCCGACGACCTGTGCACAGAGAACGCCATCATGCTGAAGCGCTTCAACAGGTGAGGCTCTGCCTGGGTCATGTCAATCATTACATCCCTATACACCGGAACACTGACAGGTGTGTGTGTGCGCGCAGGTATCCGCTGATCATCGACCCCTCCGGTCAGGCCACAGAGTTCATCATGAATGAGTATAAGGATAAGAAGATCACGCGCACCAGCTTCCTGGACGACGCCTTCCGCAAAAATCTGGAGAGCGCTCTGCGGTTCGGGAACCCTCTGCTGGTGCAGGTACGTGTGGGGTGTGTGTGTGTGTGTGTGTGTGTGTGTGTGTGTGTGTGTGTGTTGTGTGTGTGTGTGTGTGTGTGCACGCATGTGCAAGTGAGTGTGTGTGTGTTCACCTGTGCTGTTCCTGCAGGACGTGGAGAGCTACGACCCCATCCTGAACCCAGTGCTGAACCGCGAGGTGCGCAGGACCGGCGGCCGTGTGCTCATCACACTAGGGGACCAGGACATCGACCTGTCTCCATCATTCGTCATCTTCCTGTCCACAAGAGACCCCACGGTACGCACACACAAACACACGCACGCACACTCATACATGCATACAGACCAACACAGGATGGTCATGTGGACGCAGATTATCCCAGAGTCATTAAACCGCAGCCCATATTACCCCCGCCTGCCTGCCCGTCTCACTCTGACGGTTTAATAGGAGTGTGTGTGAGTCAGTGAGCACAGGATACAGACACACACTGCCATCATCCTCCAGTTCCCTAATGATGGGCGATATGATTGTGTGTGTGCGCGCAGGTGGAGTTCCCCCCTGACCTCTGCTCGCGTGTGACCTTCGTGAACTTCACGGTGACCCGCAGCAGTCTGCAGAGCCAGTGTCTGAACGAGGTGCTGAAGGCGGAGCGGCCCGACGTGGACGAAAAGCGCTCGGACCTGCTCAAGCTGCAGGGTAAACAACTGACTGTCTGACCCTCTGTCCGTCTGATCCTCTGTCTGTCCGTCTGATCCTCTGTCTGTCTGATCCTCTGTCTGTCTGATCCTCTGTCTGTCTGACCCTCTGTCTGTCTGTCTGACCCTCTGTCTGTCTGACCCTCTGTCTGTCTGACCCTCTGTCTGTCTGACCCTCTGTCTGTCTGACCCTCTGTCTGTCTGATCCTCTGTCCGTCTGATCCTCTGTCCGTCTGACCCGCTGCCTTTCCGTCTGACGCTCTCTCTGTCTGTCTGATCCTCTGTATGTTTGATCCTCTGTCTGTCCGTCTGATCCTCTGTCCGTCTGATCCTCAGTCCGTCTGATCCTCTGTCCGTCTGATCCTCTGTCCGTCTGATCCTCTGTCCGTCTGATCCTCTGTCTGTCCGTCTGATCCTGTCTGTCCGTCTAATCCTCTGTATGTCCGTCTGACCCTCTGTCTGTCTGTCTGACCCGCTGTCCGTCTGATCCTCTGTCTCTCCGTCTGACCCACTGTCCATCCTTCTGATCCCCTGTCCGTCCTTCTGATCCCCTGTCCGTCCTTCTGATCCCCTGTCCGTCCGTCTGATCCCCTGTCCGTCCGTCTGATCCTCTGTCCGTCCGTCTGACCCTCTGTCTGTCCGTCTGACCCTCTGTCTTTCCGTCTGACCCGCTGTCTTTCCGTCTGATCCTCTGTCCGTCCTTCTGATCCTCCGTCCGTCCGTCTGACCCTCTGTCCGTCCGTCTGATCCTCTGTCTTTCCGTCTGATCCTCTGTCCATCCTTCTGACCCTCTGTCCGTCCGTCTGACCCTCTGTCCGTCCGTCTGACCCTCTGTCCGTCCGTCTGACCCTCTGTCCGTCCGTCTGACCCTCTGTCCGTCCGTCTGACCCTCTGTCCGTCCGTCTGACCCTCTGTCTTTCCGTCTGATCCTCTGTCCGTCCGTCTGATCCTCTGTCCGTCCGTCTGATCCTCTGTCCGTCCGTCTGACCCTCTGTCCGTCCGTCTGACCCTCTGTCCGTCCGTCTGACCCTCTGTCCGTCCGTCTGACCCTCTGTCCGTCCGTCTGATCCTCTGTCCGTCCGTCTGATCCTCTGTCCGTCCGTCTGATCCTCTGTCCGTCCGTCTGACCCTCTGTCCGTCCGTCTGACCCTCTGTCCGTCCGTCTGATCCTCTGTCTGTCCGTCTGATCCTCTGTCCGTCCGTCTGACCCTCTGTCTGTCTGTCTGATCCTCTGTCTGTCTGTCTGTCTGTCTCCCCCTCCGTCTGCTGACTCTGCCCTCTCGCTCTCCTCAGGTGAGTTCCAGCTCCGTCTCCGTCAGCTGGAGAAGTCTCTGCTGCAGGCGCTGAATGAGGTCAAGGGTCGTATCCTGGATGACGACACCATCATCACTACGCTGGAGAACCTGAAGAAGGAGGCGGCTGAGGTGACGCGCAAGGTGGAGGAGACGGACATCGTGATGCAGGAGGTGGAGTCGGTGTCGCAGCAGTACCTGTCGCTCTCCACCGCCTGCAGCAGCATATACTTCACCATGGAGGCGCTCAACCAGGTGTGTGTGTGAGAGAGTGAGTCTGTGTGTGAGCGAGCTGTAGCTAATGCTGTGTGTGTGTTCACAGATGCACTTCCTGTACCAGTACTCTCTGCACCTCTTCCTGGACATTTACCACACTGTGCTGTACGAGAACTCCAGCCTGAAGAGTGTCAGCGACCACACACAGCGCCTGTCGCTCATCACCAAAGACCTGTTCCAGGTGCACACACACACTGTTAAATTAAACTGATGCTGTTATAGTTGTATGACTCTGATCGAGTGCTGTGTGTGAGCGGCCGGCTGCAGAGATACACACTCACTGCTGTATTCACAGAAGGAGTAATCTTATAATGAGTGTGTTTAGTCTCGACTGCTGCTGCTTCACCCTCTCTCAGAGGTGTGTGTGTGTGTGTGTGTGTGTGTGTGTTCTGACAGCTCAGTTACTCCTGCAATAATGGAGATGTTGTTTATTTTCTGTCTCTGTCTGTTCAGGTGGCGTTTAACCGAGTTGCTCGAGGAATGCTGCATCAGGATCACATCACGTTTGCTGTGCTGCTGGCCCGCATCTACCTGAAGAGCCTGGTCAGGTACAGAAACACCAGCCTCGCTTTCTATACACCAGATCCCAGAGTCTGTCGCTCCTCGTCTGTCATCTGCTTTATCCTGAACTGAATGGTGTTGGTTTATCCAGAGCTCCTCCAGCATGTGCACTGCTATGGTGTGCTGGAGTGTTCCTGTGCTCTGTTCTTCATCTGCTCTCCTGTTTCTGACCCAGTCTTCACTGTAAGAGCGCTACAGAAAGATGAAGTGTGGTGTGTTGTGTGTTTTCCAGTGAGCCGTCGTTTGATGCGGAATTCCAGCACTTCCTGCGGGGTAAAGAGATGGTGCAGAGCGGTGTTAGCGCGCCCAAGCTGAAGGGTCTGACCGGGGAGCAGGCTGAGGCCATGGTGCGACTGAGCCGACTGCCGGCATTTAAAGACCTGGAGACCAAAGTACAGGCTGACGAGGTGAGTGTCTGACCTCAGATCAGTCTACAGCTGACCCCAGATCAGTCTACCCCAGACCCCAGATCAGTCTACCCCTGACCCCAGATCAGTCTACCCCTGACCCCAGATCAGTCTTCCCCTGACCCCACATCAGTCTTCCCCTGACCTCAGATCAGTCTACAGCTGACCCCAGATCAGTCTACCCCAGACCCCAGATCAGTCTACCCCTGACCCCAGATCAGTCTACCCCTGACCCCACATCAGTCTTCCCCTGACCTCAGATCAGTCTACAGCTGACCCCAGATCAGTCTACCCCAGACCCCAGATCAGTCTACCCCTGACCCCAGATCAGTCTACCCCTGACCCCACATCAGTCTTCCCCTGACCCCAGATCAGTCTACCCCTGACCCCAGATCAGTCTACCCCAGACCCCAGATCAGTCTACCCCTGACCCCAGATCAGTCTACCCCTGACCCCAGATCAGTCTACCCCTGACCCCAGATCAGTCTACCCCTGACCCCAGATCAGTCTACCCCAGACCCCAGATCAGTCTACCGCTGACCCCAGATCAGTCTACCCCTGACCCCTGGTCAGTCTACCCCTGACACCACATCAGTCTACCCCTGACACCACATCAGTCTATCCCTGACCCCACATCAGTCTACCCCTGACCCTGGATCAGTCTGCCCCTGACCCCACATCAGTCTGAGTGTGTCTG